ATGGAAGCTTGAACATTTTGTAGCTCTGCTGCCATATCTTTTATTCTTCCCTCCAAGTTTCCATATCTATTTTTATGCAGCTGCTTCATCTTCTGTTTTACCAATTTCAATTTCTGCACTACAACAAACATAGGGCAGCCCTGAACATCCACACTCCAAGCTTCCCTAACCAAATCAAGGAAGTTTTCATCCTTAGACCATGCATTGCAAAATCTAAATGGCCTTGGTTTCTCGTTCATCAATGCATCCACAGTCACTAAAGAGGGTGAGTGATCTGAGGATTGTGGGTTTAGAAAGACAACAGAAGTATTTGGAAATGCACTAACCCATGATGAATTAGCCATTACCCTGTCCAGCTTACACCACAGCCTGTCATTTTCCCCTTGCTTATTACTCCAAGTGAAGAAAGCACCTGAAAATTGCAAGTCAAAAACCTCCATTCTACTGACAAAATCCTTGAGCTCAGAGGTATCTCCCCAAACAACTCCACTAGGCTTCACCCTTTCACCATAATTTAGAGTTGTATTAAAGTCTCCAGAAATAATCCATGGCACATAATCAGTTTGGTAAATTTGTAACCCAAGAAAATAATGTAGCAACCCCAAATCAGACATGTCAAATTCAGCAGACATATTCTTCTTAAATTCTTCAATAAGAATGTTAGAAGAACTAGTGTAAATAATGTCATCCACATAAACACAAATAATGAGAATATCACCTCCTTTCACCTTCACATACAAAGTGGGCTCATTTTCATTGCGATGAAAATCATTATCATGCAAGTATGAATCAAGGCTACCATACCAGGCTTGCGGCGCTTGCTTGAGTCCGTAAAAAGCTTTCTTGAGCTTGTACACCTTTTCTTCTTTGGCTTGAACAATGAATCCTTCAAGCTGCTCAACATAGACATCTTCTTCCAACCAACCATTCAAGAAAGCAGATTTAACATCAAACAAAAAAATCTTCCATTTCATTTGAGCTGCTAATGCTATCACCAATCTAATAGTCTCAAATCTAGCAACAGGAAAAAAAGTTTCAAGGAAATCAATACCATGTTTCTGCACATAGCCTTTGGCCACAAGTCTTGCCTTGTATTTTTGCACACTCCCATCTGCTTTATACTTCACTCGATAGACCCACTTCACACCAATTGGAGTCTTCCCTTTTGGTTTATCTACAAGCTCCCAAGTGTTGTTCTTCTCAATCGAATCTATCTCCTCTTTCATGGATTTTTCCCATTCCTGTTTTCCATATGCCTCATCATAGCAAGTAGGTTCTGCCACCAGAAGTGCATAAGTATCTGGATCATAAACTTGCTTCCAAGGTTTTTCCTTCCTAAGAATAGCACCAAACATGCTTATAGTGAACATCCTTTGAGGTTGAGGAGTCAGAGCAAATTGTGGTGACATTGTTGGAGAACTTAGCGTAGGAGAAGATTGCTGGCCAACTTCCGTCTCCTCTGCTTGTGGCTCATTGGATTCACTTTCTTCATATAACAAGTGCTGAATCTTTCCTTCATTCCACTCCCATGCATTGTTCTCATCAAAAACAACATCTCTATGAATAATCAGGTTCTTAGTAATAGGATTATACAAATGATAACCCTTGGACTCACAACTATATCCAACAAAAATACACTTCTCACTTTTCTGGTCCATCTTTGTACGATCATTAGAAGCTATCATGGCATATGCAACCAAAAACTCTCAAACTACTTACATTGGGCTTCCGTTTCCACCATGCTTCATATGGAGTCATATTTCGCACTGCCTTTGTTGGAGAAATGTTGAGAATATGAATAGTAGTAGCAACTACTTCAGCCCAGAAGGTTTGTGGAAGTTTCTTCTCATTCAACATGCTCCTTGCCATCTCCACAACTGTTCTGTTTTTCCTTTCAGCAAACCCATTCTACTTTGGAGTTCTTCTTACAGTAAGTTGCCTCTTGATCCCATTCTGCTTGCAGAATCTACCGAACTCATTAGATAAAAATTCTCCTCCCTTATCGATTCGAAGAATTTTTATTTGATGGCCACATTCTTTCTTTGCAAAAGCTTTGAATTCCTGAAATTTTTCAAGAGCTTCTGACTTTTGAACAAGAAAAAAATACCCAGCTCATATGAGAAAAATCATCAGTGAACAATAAAAAATATTTGCTCTTGTTCAAGGACAAATTTCTCATTGGCCCACAAATGTCAGCATGTACTAACTCCAAAGGCTCCTTTGCTCTCCATGCTTTCCCAACTGGAAATGCATTTCTGTGCTGCTTCCCATAAGCACAACCTTCACAAACATCATCAATAGGAACAATAGAGGGCAAACCATAAACCATAATTTTCTGACTCAATAATTTCAACCCATTAAAATGCAAATGCCCATATCTCATATGCCATAACTTGGAGTCATCTTTAACATTTGCAACAAGTGCAAGGTCATTCAAACATGAGATCTCAAGTGGAAACATTTTATTTTTAGCCATGAGAATCTTAGCAAGAGACATATTAGATTTACTGCACTTGATTTCACATAAGCCATCATGAAATTCAACCAAATACCCATTCTCTACCAACTAACCCACACTAAGCAAATTATGTGCCAAGTTAGGTATGTAATAAACATCATGAATCAACTTTTTGATACCTGACTTGGTTCTAATTGCAATTGTTCCCTTGCCTTCAATTTGCACCTGCTTATTGTCTCCAAGTCAAACTTTTAGCTTCATTGTCTCATCGATATTTCGGAAAAGGCTTTTAACACCTGTCATATGATTACTACATCCACTATCAAGAAACCACAAGTCAGAATTGCTGCCATTTGGAATTAAACAAGTGAGGAACAAGTTCTCTTCAACTTCTTTTTCTTCAACAAAGTTTGCTTGTTGCTTTGCCTTCTCCCAATAATTTGCCTCGATGTGCCCATGTTTCTTGCAAAAATGGCACTGCTTCTGGTTGCCTCTTTCTCCATTCTCGTACTTCTGACGAGTTGAGCTTGATCCCCCCTGGCCTCATCCATAGCCACGGTAGCCTCCTCTACCTCTTCCTCTACTAGTAAAGCCTCTGTGATCCTTTTTCTCTTGGCTAGAGATCTCTACCTTTGTTTGAAAGGCTTGCTCCATGTTCTTCTTCGCAAACCTGTTCATTCTCTCTTCACGTGCTAAAAGTGAGCCCATCAATTGATTAAGAGAATAAACAGAGAAATCCTTTGACTCTTCAATAGCAGCTACAACATGATCGAACTTAGGTGGTAGACACCTCAAAACCTTCTCAACAACCTTACGATCATCAACTTGATCACCATAAGTTTTCAATTGATTAATAATGACAGACACTCTGCTAATGAAATCTTGAACTGACTCACTTCCTTTCATGCATAAGTTTTCAAATTCTTTACGTAGAGTTTGAAGTTTCACAATTGTTACCTTGTCATCTCCATAAAACTCTTGATTCAGAATGGTCCAAGCTTCCTTTGACTTTGTGGCATTTGCAATCCGAGGAAAGATTGAGTCAATTACTGCTTGCTGTAATATAAGCAATGCCTTTGCGTCCTTCTTCCAAAGATCTTTCACCTCTGCTACTGGTGACTTCTCGATTTTAGCAAACTCATTCTCCACAAGATCCCACAAATCTTGCGAGACAAAAAAAGTCTTCATTTTAATACTCCAAAAAACATAGTTTTCTCCATTGAATATGGGCACTAAGGATTGGGACAAATTCAATGAATTTGAATTGCTAGCCATGATGAAAACAGCTATAGCTTCTGAGATCCCTTCGCTTCAGCAATGGTCTCAACTTCACAAGAACACCAATCGAACCTAGTGCTCTGATACCACAATTTGTTGGAGAAGAATAGAAAAATGGAAATAGATAACAAAGTGATTGAGAAGTGAAAAGATAACCTTCTGAATACTTAAATTCATTGAAAAAACATACAAATATATACTGAAAATCTAAGTAGTGGGATTGTAACATGATACCCACGTACTATACTCTAACTGAAATTATGGGCTAAACTAACTCAACAAATAATCCTAAAAAATAGCAACTACCCCACTCTCTAAAGAAAAATCAAGAAGACTTATTCAAACTAAATAACAAGTTAGATAAAAACAATATCAACTTTTGCATCAGTTTTCAACATTTTGAATGAGTAATTAGAATGTTCTCAACTTAGCTTTCTACAACCTTAAAACTAATCACACTTTGATCAATTTTAAAGATATACTTAAACTAAGTATATTTTAAAAAATTTATTTTATTGGATATAAACTCTAATACTTAAATCCTTGACTTAGCTTACAAGACAATTATACATTCTTAACAGTAAATTCAACCCATAAGATTATGTCATTATATATACATATATATAGATTATGTCATTCTATGTGTTAAAAGCGAGACCAAAATCACACTCCAGCTTGGTGCAGAAAAAATAAAAAAATCACTCTCAATTTTGTTTTAAACAATGATTACTATTTTTTTGTGTTTAATATACACCATAACATATCTAATAAGAAATTATTATTTTTAAATTTAAATTAAAAGTAAAAAACTTAAAATTATAAATTTTAATAGTTAAGCTAATAGTTGTTTGTGGGAATGTTAACTCAGAAAATATATCAATTATTTTCTTTCTATTTTACCTGTGACACCTACTAAAAATGGTTAGTTTGACTTAATTAACTTTTACATTTAGCAAAGCGTTAACAATAAGGTATCATTTAGTATGGTTGTAATTTTGAGGTTTTTTTTTATAGTTTTTAAAAATTTAAAGATTTTAGGATAAAATTATTAA